GGGGGCACGTTTGAGCCAAACCGTCGCACCCCCGCTTCCAGACACCCCGTATAAGAATCCGACTCCACAGTAAACGGTGCGTCCGGAATTCGTTGCAAGTTCCTCGGTCGAGTCGAGAGGCTCGTTCGCAGTTTCACCGCGTCTCTCGCGACGTCGAAATTTGATACGAAGATGCATTCGGCTTACCCGAGCGCCGTCGAAAATAAACGATAGCGTGAGAGGTACACCGTGTTCGCGGAAATGTTGAAATTACGATCGATGCGGCTGCTCGGAAAAATGTCGCATTTATATATACGTTGCGATAATGAGAAATGTTAAAGCGACGTCGTGCGAGTGAAATATTTTATATGTATATACAACAACAATAGTAATATTTTGTTTAAACACGTGGAAGCACTTGACCCGTTTTGCTGAAAATGCGCGAGGGTGAATCTGTGATTAGAGAAATATCCACGGTGTCAGACTGAGATGGAGGAAAAAAAAGGGGGAAAATATGCTGACATATGGTCATACGTAGTCGACGGGCGATGAATTACGTAAGATCGCCGTGGCTCGCCGATCAATCACCCACAGTGTTGCATAATGTTTCAGCATTGCGAAGTCACGCTTATCGCGCGCTTACCCGTCGATTGAATTATGGCGCTCGCACGCGCAGAATTTCATATGACTCCATTTCGCGATCGACCCAATATTAGCCGCTCGACCGGACGCAGCTCTATACAAGTCGTGTTTCTCGTTTCTTGCGTCGAGAGCAATAAAGAAAACGCGAAGAAAACGTCCCGTGCAGTAATCTGATATCTGAAATCCGCGTGCTTTATCACGCGTGGCGTAGTTTATTCGCGTAGTTTCGCGCGTGCGGAAGCGATAATTACTTGAACATCGTTTCACGACGAAGAATCGGTAATGCGAACGTATTAATTTTACGACAGTCTAGTACCGCCATTCGTTCCAACCGGAACAGCTGACATTTGCCGAGTCCGCTCTGCATGAAATACCGACCGGCTCGGCACAATATCCGCGGACATCCCTTCCCGTCTCGAATTCCTATTAATTCGGCGATATTAATCAAAGAGCGACTTCTCTTCGTCAGAGCGCGCCTCATTGTTTTCGGCTACCCTCCCGATCCAATATCGACACGTCCTGTGACGCAATGCGCGCTCGCTCGTCATCGCACACACACACACGAGCTCGCGATACGCGTGCACACATACATATTCTCCGCGTGATATACTCGGCGAAAAGAGTGCGGAGGGATACGCCGACGCACACAAGAAGGAAGGATCACAAAGGCCGGGCGTCGTCGTTGCGACCGAGCGAAAGCAGGTGCCGACTTCGAAAGAGCTCCGAAAAGAGTTCAACGTGCTTGCCGACGGGGGATCTCGCCAATCATCGTCGATGGTGCACGCATGCCCGACGTATGGCCGCGTATTTTCCGTTCTCTTTCCCCTGTTTCTCTATTTTTTTTTATTGTTGTTTCCGCGACCCTCCGCGCAGCGTGGGGTCGTGCAAGGAATCTGCACCTCTGTGTGTCCTCAAACGAGCGAGGAACAAATTAACGAACGTAAAATCTTCGGAAACGAATATCGCTTGATCCCCGCCGTAGTTCGCAGTGCGAACTTCGCACAACGAATATGAGACGATTAAAGTGAAATTTTCAAGAATCGTTCTTCCTTCCTCTCAAAGAATGATCCATTACGGATTCATTGATTTCTAGGCTGATTCTTTTGTATCTCATCGTAATAATCTCACCGAGAATGAAGATTCACGCTTATCCGAGCTGATCGTTGCGAAACGTTCACGAGTCCTGAGAACCAACGAAGGACCATCGGCTTGGCCACGTTCCCACCGGCACCGCGGGGGCATCCCGCTATTTTCTTAATCTGGCAGCGTACACAGACCGAAGAACAAACGAGCGGCCCGCCGGTGTGCGTCCACGCTCACACGCGGATCCGAGAAAAAGCCAACCCCGTAGATGGCATTCGATCGTGACCTCGACGTGTGCTCGCACCACCACCACCGCAGGGCCAGATGTCACCCCTGTGTGACTTCCACAGCGTCTTTTCTTACCTACTTGCCCTAACCTACCCTTCCTCCTCCTCCGTCGCGGTTTCTCCTTCTTTGTTCTCGTTCCTTCCAATTCATTTTTATTGACTTCCCTCTCCCCCGTCTTTTCCGTCGCGGCTCTCTCAGGTGATCCGAAATTATTATCGTCTCTCACGGCCGATCCGACCGCCGCGTTCCCGCGGCCTTTGTTCTTTTCTCGCGGATCTCACCACGGCGAACGACTTCTTTTCACTCCGCCGCGTCGCGAATGGATCGACGTGCCTGCTGAACCAATATTATGAAAATATCCGGCAAAAATTATTTATTTTACCTGCCCGTCATTAAAATAGCTTTACTCTTTCACGCTGTTCAAGAATACGCGTTATTTCAGCGTTTCAACCTCATTAATCGAAGAAATCACTGTTTCGAGGAAATCAACAGCATTTCACGCGAAGTCAAAGGGAGGGATGAAATTTGCGAAACAGACACGCGCAGTGTATTACGTTCCTGCGGGATTATGAAAGTTAATCCTCTCACCACCATCGATGTGCTGCCCTCGTGTGTTGCTAACGCGGATGAAATTATACGGGAGAGATCGCGAAATATTATCGCCAGTTGCTACGAGGCTTATGAAAAACCCATTTGCGCGACGATGTAATTGAGTTCGGCGAAAAAATTATGGAGGCAGATTTTCCATTTCGATACCGCGCGCGCGCAGGGATTATCCGGGATTTTCCCGGGTACGCGCGCACATCCCGGAAAAGATTGGACATTCCGCGGATCGAACGTAGCGAGAACACATTACGTTTAACGGCGCAGATGTAAGAGCGCGGTAGAAACATTTCATATTTATTCTTTGTCGTTTCGCGTGTCTAAGATGCAAAGTTTCCTTTTTCCTCTCTTTAACGTTCACCGAAGAATCTCGTCCTCTTCGGGGGTTATCAGCCGACGCTTCTGGGACACTCCGTAAATCGAAGCCGACCGTCTCGATAACGAAGGGTTAAGAGCGCGGCGAGGGTGATTCGTAGCGGGCCGAAGTCGCCGTGGAAAAACGGGGCTCCGAGATAGCGCCCCTCCGGGTAAGAAGGACAGAGAGAGAGAAAGAGTAGGTGCGAGAACGGCGGTTACAGGAAAGGGGGGGAAAAAGGAACGGCGGTAACTTTCCGAAAAATTAATATCCCGTGGAAAGGAGTAGGGTGCACCGGCTGCTTGGTGACGCTTCCGCGCGCGGAGGAGCGAGAAAACGACGGATGGCGACGTCGATGCTGATGATAGTGGTGGTGACGGTAGCGCGAACCGAATGGAAAGCCGGCGAAACTTTGTTTTCCGAGGCGATTCTCTCTCTCTCTCTCTCTCGTTTCTAGCGGAAAGAGAAGGAGGGAGAACGGGGGGAGGAAAGCAGGGGATGGCGGTCGAAGAGACCAGACTTGGTACTCGCGAGCTAACTTCCTGAAGAAGAGAGAGTCGTCTACGTGCTCGGCTCGTGGCCACGCGATCGGTCCAGATCGGTTCGCCGCCATTGCGCTACTCGAACGATCGGCTCGACCGGACGGTGGAATTTAATTGGGCCTGTGACCGCTTGACCAGATTAATTAGTCGGCCGATTGCGCTCGTCGACGATCTCTCTCTCTTTCTCCTCCCCTGCCCCTCCCTCTCTCGGCCTCAAGAGGATGTGTTCGTGCTTCTTCGGGCTATTTACTTCCGGGCCGGCGGAGGGTATCCCTTTGTTCTCCGTCGGACTTAGGCACGGCTAAATTCTTAAGAGAGGTTTGTTGCCGATGGACCTTAATTAAAAGTTACCGCTAAGCTGGCTCGCGTAATTATGCTTGATATGGAATACTTTAGAAGTAGAACGGCCGGGACGCTGCTCGGGATTTCTTTTTGTCTTGTACCGGATGTTAAATCTCACGCAGTTTAATTTCGCATATCTTGGCATTTTCATCGTACATTTAATATGCTTCGGATTAAACGAGTAATAAAAAGAACGAGTGTCTCGACCTTTAGGAAGGGCGTTCTTTTCTGTAAAATGAACAAGTTCCATTTGCGTTTTTTTTTTATTCTCGGGTGTGTGTACCTTCATGTTAAAGAACGTGCAAATTAAACGCGGGAAGACAAGCTTTTAATCCAAAACTCAGCGTGAGTTAAATCTCGCGATTTTTCCACGAACGGCGCGGTACGTATCGTAGTCACAGGGCGGAATCTGTACGAATTGCGCAAGATCGCAAAATTGAGTCTCCCGTTCGCAAGCAGCCATGATCTTTGAGGAACGAATGTTTCACCAGGATTCTCCGTATTTCTTCGAAGTGCGCTACAGGCCACCGGCAAAGAACATCCAGGACGCGCACCGGTTGTCGCGCGGATAAGGCGAGAGAAGAATAGGAAGGCGCGGTGTAACGGAGTGCCGGGGTAAGAGGAGGAAGTGTTTGAACGTGGGTTGGAACGTGGTCGTAGAATTTTGGGAGAATTCTGACGGGGGATTGGCTCTGTCGGAGTGAACTTATGAAACGCCCAACCCCGTCGGTTGCGCGGAGCGAGATATTAAATTTCTGGAATTTTGCGGTTAGGCACGTCTACATGCCGACGGGTCTCTCTCTCCCCCCCTCCCCCTCCCTCCGATCATCCACGTTCACGATCGCGTACCGAAGAAATCCAGTTTCGCCTCAAGACGGTAGAAAGATGCAGAGTATGAAACAACTCCCGTACGGATGCGTAGATGTTTCTACTTCAAATTATTAATTATCGAACCGTCGATCTAACCTATGATACCTCTGCGATTCCCTTGAGAATCTGTCAGTATTACGGAAGGTCTCAAATTTCTGAAAGAAAAAGCTACAATGAGCAATCGAAAGACGACGTGGATCGGCGGTGGACGGCGGCGCAATAGCCAAAGTAGGTAAAGCAAGAACACGGGCGGACAGGTTCGTTAACATCGACTTTATTGTCGCCGTCAGCTCAGCTTAACCGTGAATCCGCACTTATCAACAAGTTACGCAACATGCACAATGCAACATATATTTATGAGGCGCGAGTGAAATCGTGTCGAATGTTCCGGCCGATTTACTGGAAGGTGAGGAGGAATCTAGAGTCGCCGGCTGGTACTTGATAGTTCGTCGTGTAGGTGGTGTAGGTAGCGCTGAGAGGGTTGGCCAACGGTACCACGCTCGAGGGGTTGTCGTATTGGTACTGCACCTGCGCTGCCACCGGCTCGATCTCGAGTTTCTGCGGCTTGTTGTTGGTCCGCTCCGCAGGTGCGACAGACGCTTGCAAGCCGGCCGGTACTATCTGCAGCTTCTGCAGTGGCGCGTACGCGTAGATCGGTCCGCGAAGGGGTTCCACGTTCTCGGCACGGATCTTGGCGAAGTACTTCATAGCCTCGACGTCCTGACGACTGGCGTATCGGACGCGCTGAAGACGGCCGTCGGGAAGGGCCACGTAGTACTCCCCGATCTGCTGCGGTTGCTGCTTTTCATCCTGGTCTTCGTCCTCGAATTCGTTCGCCGCGTTCGCGGCCTCGGACTGTAACAGACGCAATGTTCGTTAAGATCGATGTCGCGGGGCAAAATTTGAAATTCCGCAAAAGAACGTAGAGCACTGCTAAGTTTTGCGAGTTTTCTAACGCGCGAACCGCCTCACGCGGCGATATACATATGTAAAAGGAGGCATTCCACGGGCAAACCTCTCTCTCAACGGCGGCGGAGTTCTCTGTTTTCTTCTCCTTTTTTTTTTTTCGCTCCGATACCGCGCCAAACAGAAGACGCGGTGGAAGCTCGCGGACGACCTCGAGCGCTCACGGATCACGGTTGAATGCGTTGTGTCACGCCGGCTTCGAATTTGGTACGGACGCGCGCACGTGCTCGACGCCGCGATCGAAAGTAAACGACGCCTCGAATACTAATGTCGTTAGGACAAGCCGGCGGCAGACGAGGAGGAGAGCGTCCGGAGACGGGAAGAGAGAGAAGCCTCCGTCCGCGTGTGGGATTTAAATTCCGCAACGCGGCCTCCGCGCCCATCGGCTCACATACCAACTCGCGGTGCTCCAGTGCGCGCGTTCTCTCCTCGAAACGAGATGATGAATCTACGTTTGCGTAACACGTCACGTAAAGCCGGGGAACGCGCGTTCAACATTCGAGACTTGGAACTCCTCCATCGGAGGCGCGCGATTTTCGCCGTTTCTCTTCCTCCGAGAATCGCTCTCTCTCCCGCCGAAATGACGGTTGATTGCTCTGATACTCGTACGATTGTCAGCGTTCATTGTCGAAAATTTGTTTTCCAAAGTTAAATACCCGGAATTGATATTTTGCTCACCTCCGGTGAAGAGATGCCTTGAACGGTGGATACCTCTTCGTCGTCATTGTTAGGGTTCTCGGTCGTCGTGGACTCGCTTGGCACTCCATATTCTCTCTGAGGACCGGGTGGAACTCCGTATTGCTGCTGAGGCGCAGTCGGTGCACCGTATTGCTGCTGAGACTGCTGAGCGCCGGCGAATTGTCTTTCCGGCAAATTAAAAGCTGGCCCCGCCGGTTTCCAGCCCGACGCGGAGTAAGGAGCGTTATCGGCCGTCTCCTCTTGCTGACGAGCGAAGTAATATTGTCTCTGCTGCTGGTACTGCGGACTGAACCTCGGCGGCTCGGCGAGAACCACGGCCGCCAAAAGGGCGATGCTGACGAGTACCTGTTTTCGGGAAGAAACCGAGCGAATTAATCGTCTGATTAATCTCGATTAAAGTCAGATCTATGTTATCGCGAAAAATCGAACGATTTTCGTCTTTCTTTCTCTTTTCCCGAGCCGCGAAAGCTGCTTGTACGATCGCACAAAAGACAAAATAGTGAATACCTTCATCATTGTAGGATTGGTTAGCCGGTTGTGTTGTACGAGCTGACTGATTTCCGATGTCCACCGTCGCCGGATTATATACACAGTGTCTCGTATGCGTTCTGCATGTCTAAGGAGGATCCGCGAGCGGGGTAGCGGCGCGCGTCCGACGCGGTCAGCGGGTGACATTGGCCTCCTAAAAGACTGATGAATCCCCAATCATTGTTGGCTCATCATCATCCGGTCGCATATTCACCTTCGTCTTTGTCGGCTGAACGGGCGCCTTTTCAACAAAAGCGACACTCTTCTATACTCCACGCGACGGTCCCCGTCGCCGGTTCCTTCGTCTTTCTCGAACTCCGCCTTTCGCGCTTTTTCGCTCATTGTGTCTGTGTTTGCCGTTCATTCCGGCGGCACGCAAAGCGACGAAAGGAGTTTGCGCTTCTGTCCTATCGACGATTTAATTCAAAGAGACGAACGCGCGCATTCGCTACACTCGAGAAACCGGCCGCTTTTACCGTGTCATGGCGAAACGCGCCAAGCACTTTGGACGGTATTACCATGTTCATTAAGATCCCTACCTCTTACATAATTCCGATTAAATTATACGAAAGCGAGATTCGAGTCGAATTTCTCAAGTGAAGAAAAAAAAAACTAGATTCCATCGAAGACAAATGATAAGGGCGAAGAGTGAAATTTCGTACTGCTACTAACCCCGATCATCTTTATGTACGTTCATTATAATTTACGACAGAAAGTGCCGCGCATTTATCAGATACGCTTGTGGCCGAGCACACCTCGGCTGGTGTGTAGAAGCGCTCCTGCTTTTCGGCAACACGTCCGTCTAAGAAAAACATCCTCGACACGTACACCATCCATCATCGGTGCCTCATCGCCCGTGACCATCGGGACTCATCGGGTAGTTGTCATATTTCACGGGTCGGAGCAAGGCCGTGCGGTGCGCGACGATTACGTCGATGTAATTTTAACTCCAGCCGTGCCTCGTCAACGAGCGACGCGCGTTCGTGCGTGGCATGCGTGTCGTCGCGTGTCGCTCATTCCACGCACGGATTTCATCGCCGGCGTCTAGAGTCGCGTGACGATGATTCGCGCGCCTTAATCGAATTCATCGGTGTGCCCGATCTGACCAGCATCCGAGAAAACGGAATCCTCACCCCTCCTCCCCCTTTTCGTACGCATCGACCCAATACGATGCACCAGGGTCGTTCGATCGATCGTGACGATATAGCTTGGAATTTATAATGACCGATATTTTCGGCTTGACTCGTTTCACCTCACTTCGTCTCATTGAGCACCGAGAGGTGTTGGACCGTGTATGTATGGGCGATATCACTCAGGGAAATGTTTTGCTGGTCTAGTTAAAATTCTAGACGCCACAGCTAAGATACGTTCGCTAGTCATTTATCCATCTTAGCTGATTTCTCGTATCATTTTCGCTGTGACTACAAGACCATTTTTTTCAGCGAACTCTCTCCGGTCGGTGTCAGCGATGCAACTCGGATCCACCGTGTTTCGAAGATTTATTTACCTTGCGTTACTCTATCATACCGATCTACTCTATTAAAAAGTTATCCACGAACTTAGATATATTCTCACATGGTACCAAATACAATGTTATCCCTCGCAGTTGTAAATCCCGACTCTTTAGCGACGGCCGGCCTTTCAGCGCGGAAGACGCCGAAACCGCGGAAACGCGCCGCTCTTTCTCCCTTACTCTCGGACACGACGGGCGAAATAACGCGACGGTGCTGCAGACGGGGTTGACGAGGGGGTCGCGAGCAGGGGGTACAACGGGGGCCGATCAGTGGTAGTCGCGCCGGGCCGAGAGAGCGGCAAAGGAGAGGGACGGCATGACGGCGGTGGAGGGGTGGCCCGGGCAAAGCAAATTATTCACACTCAAACGACTCCATTTCAATATCGGGCCGAAGCCCAGGGACAAAAGAAGGGCGAGATGCCTGTCTCCCTCCTGCTTTCGCTTTGCGCCGCGCTGCTGCCGCTCGCCGCTGCTCTGATGCCTCTGTCTGCAGCCTGCAGGCTTAACTCTCCTCTCTTGCTCTGCGCCCTCTCCCCTATATATCGTGACCCTTTTCTCTCTCAATCTCACTCTCTTTTACTCGCTCTCTTTCTCTCTCTCTATCTATCTCTCCGTTTCTTTCTTCCTCCTCTGCTTCTGTAGAACAATCTCTTCCATCCTTCTCACTCTCATCGTTTCGGCTGTGTTACCCTTACCTTCCGTCCTTATTCTTCCGTTCTATCATCTAACCCTCGCGTCGAGAAACTCCGAGAAATATCGTGGAATCGCCTCGATTTTCCGCGCGGCACTCTCGATCAGCAGGCTGCTTCGATCTTTTCGGGTTGCTACAGTCTTCGCGTATCTGGTTCTCGCGTTTGTTAGAAATGATACGCCTTGCTTCAATGGTTATATGTGCACAGGTATCTTTTGTGAAATTCTTCGGATCTTGACGCAGCACGTTTTGTGAGAAACGTTTCCGACGTGTGTCCCGCCAGCTCGTGAAAGATTGTTTCCCTTATATAATAAGACAGCGCACGCCTCAGTGCGAAACAAACTCGTCGAATGCCGAAGAATTTACCGTCGGACGGATCGCCGGCATGTAAATTCGTGTTCTTAAGAAGGACCGAAACAGAGAGACGGAAAGTCGAGACTTCGGTGGCCAAAAGCGAGTGGAGAGGAGTGGTAAAACAGAATAGAGCAGGGTAGCAGATATTTATTTTTGAGAGAGAAAGAGAGAGAGAGAGAGAGTCGATGGAGGGCACACCAGGTTTGAGTCTCGTAATTGAATATATTTAAGCGCGGGAGGGACGTTTGTGCGGATTCTCGGCTTACAAGAACCCCCATGCCGTGGTAACGTCTGCGAGTAAACTGGATTAATCGTCTATGAAGGGAGACGACCGTAACCCCGCCGCATTCGTTTGCAATCAGATCCCTCCGGAGAACTCGAAACAACGTAGTGCGAGCGGCCTTGTTTCCACTGCAATTTTATATCGATCACCGTCGAGTAAACAGGGGAAGTTCGTTGTTGCACGCCGCGAGCGTGCCGGGAGGCATTCCGGCGCTTCAAAACCGGAGCCGGAGAACGTCGCGACGATACGTTCGTATCGTCGTCAATTTCCCGGTCGGATTTACGAACGACGAAAGCACCGGTCGCTCCGTAAAACGCGCAGCGAGATTTCTCCGCGAATCCCTCGTAAAAGACGATTTCGTAATCGAGCGCGCGGCTCGTGTTACCTCGCGTTCGCGTCGACTCACAATGACCGAAGCGTCTTTTTTAATCCATGACACACGTCATTCTCGCGGAGAAATGAACCGGCACCCATCTGCACGCGCGTCCTGGATTTGGATAATTACGCGTTTCGACGGCGCATCCGTGAGTTAACGTGGCCAGCTGTTTTCTCTCTTCCCGCCACGACGGATTTAGCGTTAAAGCCTGACATCACTTCGCGCCGATAACGTGTCATTTCTCGATGCATTTTCCAAATTAAATAATGATAATAATTAATTCGTGAAACGACTGCGGGCATTGAGCGTCTCCGAATGATGTCTCGCTCGCGGGATTTCTTGAAATTCTCCGATCCGCGTCATCGTCGGAGCAGAACCGACGCTCGTCGCTCGGGATTTAGCTCGGGCGCGTCGTACCCTTGGGGACAGACGTGGCAACGGGGGTGTGCGTGGCGGCGCGCAAACTGTTTGGCTACCAGTTGCGCGCTCCCAGAAGGCTCGTTTTGCAAGTCGTAAACGAATTAAGGCCTTCCACCGCGCGCGCCGCATTCAGCCACCGGGGAGGAGTTACGAAACCGCTTTTGATTTACATTCCGGTCACTCGCCGCGTATATGCGCGCGTGCGAACGCACCGACTATCGAGATCGCTCGTGGTCACGTCGATTAGCGAGAGGGAGACTCGGCATCGACTATCCTCGTTAACGGCGGAATAGATCAATGCGAAACAACAGCCCCGAGAACAAAGTTGAGTTTATTAAAGTGATCGCGCTTGTTTATGCATAATATAGACAATGCTAATCCTCGACTACCGTCGACTCGGCGTTTCGTAGCCGCCAATAGTTTCGTCAGTTTCCGCTATATGACCGTGATTAATTACAATGTGAAAAATTCACGAAGGTAAGGGAAAAAACTTACAGCAACTCTCATCAGACATTTGTACATGTCCGTTGATCTTGTATTGCAAAATTGCTCTCCGTCTGAAAACTGTGCGGCGAGAGAATTGATTAACGCGGGCAGTCGATACTGCCGGTGACGAGAGGACATCCTCGACATCGTCGAACGGGAAACGCGCGAAGTCAATGTTTGCCGGTTTAACCAACTGTGCACAGGCGCCGCGGAGTTTGCCCGGCGCATTAGCGCGCCTCGAAGTTCAACCCTTCGCTCGTTTAATCACTCTCTATCGCGGTACTTCCGTCCTTACGTCGTCGACAAAAGAAGAAGCGAGCTTCGGCGCGGAAGCTTTTCACGTAGAACACACATTTCCCGGTCGCAATCGGAGGGAGCGCGTCATCTCTTACTCCTTTTTCCATCTACATTTTACACAGCTGAACTAGGAATATCCCTCAGACTCAGAGCTTGAAGGAGTCTGTTTAAAAATTACTCCTACGGGATTGATCAAATAATAATAATAAAATAATAAGAAAATAGAATCTTCTCAACGAGAATAAATTTTCGAATGAGGAAGAAAATAGCAAAATTTCTCCATCCTTTCGACCTCCAGCGCTGGTTTCCCTCTAATTGGTGAGCTCGTCGTGTCCGAACTATCGCAAAGCAGCGCGCGAACTAGGAGAAACTATCAGCCGCGTTGTTCCGAGATTCGCGGGTAAAAGCCTCGTGGAAATCGGGAAGAGAGGAACTGCGCCGCGTCGCGTAAACGGAGTTTAACCGCATCTCGCGTAGCGGCAGGAAGAGGAGGAGGAGGAAGAAGGGAAACGACGGGCGCGAGGTCGGAAAGGAGGAGGAGGAGAAGAAGAAGAAGCAGGAGTTGGGGGAGGGGAATGGAAGTCTCGA